AGGCAGCCAGTCCCCAGGGAGGTGACAGCTCTAGGAAACACTTGAGGTCAGATTGTGCCCCTGAATGGAGAATTCCAGAGTCTGCTGTGCAAGGGTGAGTCCCTCAGAAATAAATGGGTCAGAGACATTTGTATCCAACATCTGGCTGTAGAGCCCTGGGGAGATGTGGTGCCAACATCAGCTCCAAGCTCTTGCTCTGCGCTGTGCAATGTGAGGGGAGTGAGAGCCATGTACCTGCTCAAGGTCCATCTGATGTCCTAGAGAAAACAGACAGAAAAGCATCTCAGCACCATTGGACACACATAGGGGGCTCCAGGGAAGGGATTTTGCAAACATGAGGAAGAAAAACCCTGGCCTGGCCCCAGAGTCATGGATCCCCTGAGTGAATGGGACTTTGCCATCTCTAATAGCTCTGTGCCTGTGACTCTGCAAAGCACAACAGTCACTCACATGGAAGCAATGCACGTGCCAAGTTACGCACAGATCTGACATCTGGAGCCCAGCACCAGTGGTTCGTCTCCCTTTCCTGTGTGGGGAGCTGGAACGTTTCTCCCTCAGTCTCACCTGCAGGAATTCACTCGCTGGCTTCTGACACTTCCCCTCCAGCTCACCAATCAGCTCGCTGAGATGGGAAATTTGCCCAGAGAGTTTCCCAATAGCATCAGTCTGGAGCCTCCCAATCTCCTCATCCAGCTTCTCCAGCTGGGCAAGCAGGAGTCGCTCTTGTTCCTTCAGGAACTGCTGCAGCTTCTGAAACTCGGCCACAATCTTCTGCCTCTTGGCTTGTGTCTGTTTCTGTATGAAAACAGGGAAAGGGCTGGTTGGGGACATGGATGGAACTTGAGGCCCTTACATGGGGAACTGAGTGCACAGCTGAGAGTCAGCACCAACCTGACAGAGATACCCAGGGAGGACAAAGAAACCAAGATGTTAATGCACCAAGTGAGCAGACACAGTAGACAGCCCCTCACAGGGACATTCATTTCCTCTGGGGAGGATTTCTGGGAAAGTCACAGGGGTGGACATTAATTCATCCACTGAAATGGAACCTCAGGGCCTGTCTACACATGGATCTAACCCAGCAATCCATGGTCCAGGAGAAAAACAGACAAGCCCAACCTCACCAAAGTCACAAATGAGTCTGCCTCCTAACACAGCCTTCCCACTGCCAGTCCCTGCCACTTCATAACCATGGGCACCTACCAGATACTCCTGACTTTTCTCTTCGGCTGTCGTTTTCCTTCCCAGCAGCTTTTCTCTCTCTTCCCTCAGAGCCTTCAAATGGGCCTCCAATTTTTCCTCAAGAAACAGAAATAAGCACCAGGGTAAACCCCATGAGATTTTGGGAGCCCATTTGTCTGCCTTTAAGCTGCACAGTCCCAGTTTTGTAGAGCTCTGTCCCTCTCTGGCAGGCACTCAGCCCTGGACATGGCTTTGTCCATAGAAAAAGAGACAGGAAGAGATGGCAGATGCAGCAGGATGCCTGTGAGAGTGCGGGACAGATCGGTGGTGGCACCTTCATAAAGAATGACGCAAGTGGGGGATGAGGGAGTAAAAAGGGTTAAAAATATGAATGATGTAACCGATAATTTAATCAGTTACAGTATTTTTGAATCCACTGACAGACAAGGCCAGTATCAGACACGAGATCTCCTGGGGTCGGGGCTCTCTCGTGATGTCTGCTGAGGGTGGCCACCAAGACTGCCAGCCGATGGGGACTCCCAGCAGCTCCAGGCCGATATTTGCTGTTGGGGCAAGCAGGCACTGCCAGGGACAGTGGGGAGTTTAACTGGTAACTGGCACTGATAAGCATTCGCTCATCAGTTAACCAATTTGAACCCTGGCTACAACCCAGTCAAATCCCAGTGGGTCTGGCATGGCCCTGCGCTGCCTGGAGCCTAGCTATGGGTGGACTCAAGGCGCTTGGGGCCCCACACCATCCAGCCCAGTTACCTCCTCTTGGCTGCCGCATCTGAGTTTAACATGTCATACAGCAGCCCAGGAGTTCAGCATCTCAGCCGGAAACCTCCTCTCCCTGCTGGGCCTGTAGCAAAGTGTCTTTCCCATCTAAGGGCCACATTGTTCAGTGATGCGGAGAGGTGGGATGGAACACAGCCTGGTGGTTAGTGTAGCCTTGGATTGAGCCTGGAGAGAACAGGGTTCGTGGCTATACTCTCCCACTGACATGCTTGGTGACCATGAGGGAACTTGCTTCCTCACTTTCCCTTCCCACCTTTTGTCTAACCAGACTGTGACCTGCTCAGGCCAGGCTCTGTCCCTTTCTGGCTGTTGTGCAGGGCCCAGATGTCATTGTGGGTTTATAAGGCAAATGACAGATTGGCTGAGAATCAGTAGCAATCAGTAACAGCTTGTAACCTCCTCTACTCCAATCTTAAGGCAACTCTCTCCCATAGACTGGCCTGCAGGCTCCTGTTATCTAAACCAGTGTTTCTGAACCTCTTTTTTTTATAAAGTCCTCCTTTAAAAAAAATTATAAGTACCCCCAGTACCTGCAGTTTTCAGACACACAATTTTTTTCTACCGTTGCAACACATTTGTTTAAATAACTTAATTGTAGCAGGGCAGGCAATGAAATTTTTGGGTGTAAGAAGTACAAAAATAATAAAGTCCTGTAAAACTTAAAACAAAAATTCCGTTTTCTCCAAATTTCAGTTATGTTGATGTACCTCCCCACACTTCTCTCAAGTTCTCCTAAGAGAACTCATACCATTGGTTGAAAAACACTGATCTAAACCTCTCTGATTGTTAACACCTTCCTTTATGTTAAAACCCCTCCTGTCACCAATGAAGGCTAGGTTTCAGGATTCAGAGCCTCAGAGAAACATTTCCGACATCACGTATCTGTAAAGACTTGATGTAAGTTGCCCCACAGCCAGAGCATTTACTTTTTACAGCATGTCTTGTACCATGAAGGCTATAAAGAGCCGTGTCACACTTGTGCCAGGTAACAGTCAGTGAAATTAGCCTGTAATTAAAATGCAACATTATTTCCCATTACACTGGACAGCAACTCTGTACCTTGTACTCCTGGGCAGCTTCCTGAAAAGGAACCATCATGTGAGCCTGGGATCTGTCATACACCAGACAGATGGGAGTTTGATCCGCTTCACAGAACAGCTTCACAGCCTCCTGGTGCTCCCCACACACCCTGTCCCATGTTGCTCTCTTTGCTGCCTGGAAACTCAGCGGCTTGGCTAGTTCTACCACATTTGCCAGCTGCCAGTTGGGCGGGAGGGGTCCCTACTGCTCGGTGTCTCTGCACTGAGGGCTGAGGGGGGCCTGGCAGAAATTGTGCCCACACTGCAGAGCGACAGGGGCTGTGAAATCCTCCAGACAGATTGGATGTGATGCTTCCTCCCGGAGCCTTTCCACAGGGCCCTTTGCAGCCATAGCTGCCTCCGGACTGGGGAACAGGGGCCGTGTCACTTTCCTGAGCTCAGCAACGGAAGGGCAGGTCCAAAGGCGGGTGTTTGAGGTACCAGCACTCCTCGGTAAAAAATTAAAAAAAAAATTAAAACCCGAAAAAATCCAAAAGCTTTGCTCACCCACTGCCCCCCCCAGG